GTTTGTTTGTTTGCTTGTTTTTAATGAGGATATTTATTGAGGATACACAAGAAAAAGACCTCTTTATTCTGCATAGCTTCACTTTGGGTTTTAAATACACTACAGAAGTTCATGAAGGATAGTTTAACCATTTATGTTGTCTTATGTGAGAAGCCAGTGAGTGTACCTTACTTTTCAGAAAAAAGTGTATTCCTAATTAGTCAAGTATAATATGTACATTATAAAATTAAAATAATGAACTAAAATGTCTGTCCCCAAGTAAAATTTAAAATCCATACTTAACATATATCCCAATTTCAACATATTTAGTGAATATGTATTCTTAAAAGATCTACTACTTTACATTTAGATGCATTAGGGTATATTAGAAATAGAAGCAAAAGAAAAGATTTAGAACCTGGTCTGTCTTTGTCACTCAAACAAGTTACCCTCTCTGAGTTTTATACCCCCTTCATCTTTAAAACTGGGGGTAATGTCAACCTGACTACTTTAAAATGAGTTTGAGAGTCAGGCAAATTAGAAAGATACATAGATGATAACTTTTCAAAAGGTATGTTGTCTTTCATTATTTGTAGAATACTTTTATACTTTTCAGAGTACTTTTATATTGATCATATTGTTTGTACTTTATGAAAGCCCTCTACACATCAGAATTATGCTTATTATACAGAGTGGCACAGATAAAGATAATATTGAATTGCTGCTTAAGACTGCATAAAGAGCGTGGACTTTATAGTCATACCTGGCTCCACCACTTCCTAGCTTCATCTATTTCTACATGTGTGATGGTGTGGAAATTACTCAACTTCTGAGAGCATCAGTTTCTCCACGTAGAAACTGAGTACAGAGTAGGTAACAGATACTAGTTCTTCTTACTGGGAGTGTAAACACATAATCTCTGTGATATCAGCCTATTAAATCTAGAGGCTTATTTCCTCCCTGGAGTGAATACTCTGCTTTAAATATAGATGCTTTGAACATTTATTTCTGTCATTTCTGAAAAGCTATCATTTAATTAAGGTATTGTTGAAAATGCTTTATAGCTGATTTATTGTGCGTGGTCTTTTTTGATAGCTGAGCATGTGCTTTGAAGATGAATAGAACATTGTCTCTGTCCTCTAGGAGCCTACTAGGTGTTTATGCAAGAGACAAGTTAACAAATAACTGCCACATAAGGTGAGAGTAATTACATCAGAAGTGTGTCCAGAGCAGAGCATCATAGTGCCTCTGGACCTTTTAAGTTTCGTGAAACATCTGAGTGTTGGGTCTTAAATGATTGGATCATTAGTATAACCTAAAACGTGACTTGATACATTGTTATTCTGTGGATAATGTTAAATATAATAGCATACTTTGGATTATGTGGATGAGCCTTTTTAATTGCTAACACCTGACTGAGTACCGTTATTCTATTTGCTGTTGGAAAGGAATTTTTTATTTTTGTATTATTTTCACAGCATTTCAAACTTAGCAAGAACAGTAAAAAAAAAAAAAAAAAAAAAAAAGTCTCATATGCTTTTACCCGAATTCCCCACATCTGCTTTATCAATTTCTCTTCTTATATGTTTATATCATTTTTTTGTGAACCATTTGGAAGTGACAGACTTGTGTGCCTTTCCCAAATACTATTATTTTATAATGCTAAATACTTTTTTAATAAGAACATTACCATAATACAATGGACTAAATTGGGAAATTGACATTAACATAATACTGTTGTCTATATACCTAAATTTTATTTTACTAATTGCCCCAATAATGTGCTTTATAGATTAAAAACAAAAATGACAAAACAGGTCCCTTGGCCAGTCTGAAGACCACACATTGCGTTTAGTTTTCATGACACTATAGTCTCCTTTAATCTGGAATAGCTCCACAGTGTGTCTTTTGTCAAGTGTATGGCATAAAGAGAACCAGCTATTTATTTTATGGAATATCCTTCAATTTGTGTTTAATGCATTTTCATAATAAGATTGAGGTTACATTTTTTTTTACCAACTTTTTTATTGTAAAAGCAGATAACATAAAATTTACTATCTTAACCATTTTAAAATTTACTGTGCAGCTGTATTATGTACATTCATAATTGCTGTGCAGCTGTCATCTATCTCTAAAACTCTTTTCATCTTACACACTGAAACTCTATACCCATTAAACAATAACCTCCCATTCCCCACAAGCCCAGCCCCTAGCATCCACAATTCTACTTTATGTCTCTGATTTTGATCACTCTAGGTACCTTTTGTTAGTGAAATCATGTAGTAGTTGTCTTTTTGGCTGGCACATTTCACTTAACATTAAATCCTCAAGGTTCATCCATGTTGTAGCACATCAGAATTTGCTTCCTTTTGAAGGCTAAATAATATTCCTGTATAAATAACAAATTTTCCATATCCATTCATTCATGGATGGACACTTGGATTGTTTCTACATTTTAGCTACTGTGAATAATGTTGCTGTGAATATGGATGTAAAAATACCGCTTCAAGACACTGCATTCAGTTCTTTGAGGTTTATACCTAGAAGTGGAATTACTTGATCATACAGTAAATCTGTTTTTGTTTTTTTGAGGAGCCACCATACTATTTTTACAGTGGTTGTAACATTTTAGATTTCCACCAGAGTGTACAAGGATTCCAATTTTTCCACATCCTCACCAACACTTTTTATTTTCTTTTTTTTTAATAGTAGCCAGTCTAATTGGTGTAGGTGACATCTCATTTTAATTTTGATTTGTGTTTCTATAATGATTAGTGACACATCTTTTCATGTGCTTATTGTCCATTTGTATGTCTTATTTGAGAAAATGTCTGTACGAGTTCCTTGACCATTTTTTAATTGGGGTGTTTGGTTTTATTGTGGAGTTTTCTGTGTATTCTGGGTCTCACGTTTTGTCAGAGATATGACTTACCTGTTTTTTCTTCTTTGCCTGTGCCTTTGTGTCATATCCAAAAAATCACTGTCAATTCCAGTGTCTCGCTTTCACCCTGTGTTTTCTTGTAACAGTTTTATAGTCTTAGGTTTTATGTTTAGATCATGACCCATTGTAGGTTGATTATTGAATATGGCATTTATTTCTGGATTCTGTTTTATTCCGTTGTTCTATATGTCTGTCTGTATGTCAGGACCAGACTTATTATTACTGTAACGTTGTTGTAAGTTCTGGAATCAGGAAGTTGAAGCCCTCCACCTTCATTTTTCTTTCTCGGGGTGATTTTGGCTTTAAGGGTACCATGAAATTCTGTGCGACTTTTAGGACAAATTTTTCTATTTCTTTAAAAAACCCATTGGGATTTTGATAGGAATTGTATTAAGTCTGTAGATTGCTTTGGATAATATTGACAGTTTTTGCAATAATAAGTCTTCTAGTCTATGACCACAAATCTCTTCCCATCTATTTATGTCTTCTTAATTTATTTCGTAAATGTTTTATAGTTTTCATTGTACAAGTTTTTTACATCCTTGATGAAGTTAATTCTCTGTCTCTGCTTTTTTTTTTAAAAAAAAACATTTAGGAGACTCAGTGTTCTGCTGAAAATTTGTTCTTTTTATGCTATGATAAACAGAATTGTGTTCTTAATTTCCTTTTTAGATTTTTCAGTGTTAGAAGAAATACAAGTGATTTTTATATAATGACTGTATCCTGCTACTTTGCTGAATTGGTTTATTAATTCTAACAGTTTTTTTGTAGAATCTTTAGGGTGTTTTACTTATAAGATTATATCATTTGTGAACAAATAATTTTGCTTCTTCCTGTCTAATTTGGATGTCTTTTATTTCTTTTTCTTGCCAAATTGCTCTGAGTCCAGCTAGTCTCATGTTGATTACAGGTGGTGAAAGCAGACATACTTGCCTTCTTTCTAATCTTAGATGAAAAGCTTTCAGTCTTTCACCACTGAGTATGATGTTCACCGGGGGTGTTTTGTATATGGTTTTTCTTATGTTGACATAGTTTCCTTCTACTCCTATGTGCACTTGAGAAGAATGTATGTTCTGTTGTTGTTAGAGTTCTGTGTTTATTAGATCTCTTTGGTATATTGTGTTCATCTCTTCTATTTCCTTATCATCTGTCTGGTTGTTTGATCCATTATGGAGAATGTGGTATTGAAGTCTCCAACTTATTGTAGAACCACTTTTTTTTTTTTTTTTTTTTTTTTTTTGAGGCGGAGTCCCACTCTGTTGCCCAGGCTGGAATGCAATGGTGCCATGTCAGCTCACTGCAACCTCCAACTCCCAGATTTAAGCAATTCTCTTGCCTCAGCCTCCTGAGTAGCTGGGATTACAGGCAACTGCCGCATGCCCGGCTTTTTGTATTTTTTGTAGAGACGTGGTTTCTCTGTGTTGGCCACGCTGATCTCGAACTCCTGACCTCAGGTGATCTGCTTGCCTTGGTCTCCGAAAGTGCTGAGATTACAGGCATGAGCCACCATGCCTGACCAGAACCATTTCTTTCTTCAAGTCTGTCTCATTTTTGCTACTTACATTTTGGTGGTCTGTTATTAGGTATGTAAATTTTTTATGATTGTTACATATTCCTATATTGAACCTTTTATAAATATATAATACCTCTGTTGTCTCACAGCCTTTTTTTTTTAATTTAAAGTCTATTTTGTCTTGTTAGGAGTACAGCCACTCAAGCTCTCTTTTGGCTACTATTTGCATGGTAACCAAATCACTTTCTATCTTTCACTTTCAGCATATCATGTCTTTGAATCTACAGTGAGTCTCCTGTGTACAGCTTGTAGTTGGAACATTTTAAAAATTTATTCTACCAATTTCTATCTTTTGAATGAAGAGTTTATTTACATTTAAAGTAATCATTGGTAAGAAAGGACTTACTTTTGTCATTTTGCTATTTTCTTTACACATGTGCCTTGTAGCTTTTTTGTTCCTCATTTCCTGCATTACTGTCTTCTTTGGTCTTCGATTAATCTTTGATAGTGAAACATTTAACTTCCTTTCTTATTTCCTTTGTGTCTGTTCTTCAGTTATATTCTTTGTGGTTACCATGAGGATTACATTTAACATCCTAGACACTTCTAATCTCAGTTTATACAAGCTTAAGTGCCTAATATACAAAACCTCTGCTCCTTTAACTGCTCTGTCTCAACCCCTTTCAGTTTTGATGTCACAGAATTACATCTTCATATATTGTATGCTCCAAAACAGAAACTCATAATTTTTAATGTATTAGTTTCTTAAATTCCATAGGAGACAAAATATGAAGTTACAAATCAAGTTATAATGTTAGCTTTTAGACTAATAATTGATTTTCATTATTTACTAATACTGGCTTTATTAATGTTAAGCTTATTTATTTATTTGTAGGCAGGGTCTCATTCTGTAGCCCAGGCCAGAGTCCAGTGGTGTGATCACAGCTTACTGCAGCCTCAACCTCTTGTGCTCAATCGATTCTCCCTTCTCAGCCTCCTGAATAGCCGTGACTACAGGCATGTGCCCACCACACCTGGCTAATTTTTGTTGTTGTTGCTGTCTTGTTTTGTTTGTAGAGATGGAGTTTCACCATGATCCACAGGCTGGTCTTGAACTCCTGGGCTCATGCCATCTGCCTGCATTGGCCACCTAAAGTGCTGGGATTACAGGTGTGAGCCACCATGCCTGGCTAGGCTAATTTTTTTTTTTTTTTTTCATTTGAAAATGTGGAATCCTGGAAAACCAAAAGCGAATTTACACAATCATTGTTACGATACTACTAACTAGCGTTTATGATTCCCTGTGTATTTACCTTTACTGAGATCTTTATTTCTTTGTATGACTTTGAGTTACTGTCTAGTTTCATTTCAACCTGAAATGCTACCTCTAGTGATTGAACAAACTCCCTCAGCTTTTGTTCATCAGGGAACATCTTAATTTCTCTCTCACTTTTGAGGGACTGTCTTGCTGGATATAGGATTCTTAGTTGACAGGTTTTTTCTTTTTTTTTTTTTGCTCTCCTCTTATTTTATCACTTTGAATACTTCTATCCACTGCCTTATGGCCTCTAGAGTATCTGATATGAAGTCTGCTGATAATCATATTTAGGATCTGTTATATGTAACAAGTCACTTCTTTTGTTGCTTTCAAAAATCTACCTTTGTTTTTGGCCTTTGACATTTCCATTATAATGTGTCTCAGTGTGAATCTGTTTGATTTCATTACTTGTTTATTGAACTTCTTGAATGTTTATATTCATGTTTTTTCATGAAATCTAAGAAGTTTTAGCTATTACTTCTTCAAATATTTTGTCTACTCTTTTATCTCTCACTTCTCATGCAGCTTCCACAGGGCATTAGTTGGTCTGCTTGATGATGTCTCACAGGTCCCTTAGGTTCTGTTCACTTTTCTTAAATCTTTTTTTTTTCTTTTCTTCAGACTCAGTACTTTCCATTATCCTATCTTTATGTTCACTGTTTTTTTTTTACCTGCTCAAATATGCTTTTGAATCCCTCCAGTGAATTTTCAGTTACTGTACTTCTCAGTTCCTGAATTGTTTTAAATTTTTATTTCTCTTTATTGATATTTACATTTTGTTCATACAGCATTTTCTTGACTTTGTCCATATCTTTTAATTCTTTAAGGAAGTCTTTGTCTAGTAGATTTGGTATCAGGTCTTTTTTTTTTTTTTTAAGGGACAGTTTCTGTTGATTTATACTTCTCCTTTGAATAAGCCGTTTATTCTTGTTTCTTTGTATGCCTTGTGATTTTTTTCCCCCTGAACACAGTATGTTTGAATTTAATAATGGGGTATCTCTGAAAATCAGGTTCTCGTTCTTCTCCGGGGTTTTCTTTTTTTGTGTTTTTGTTTTTCGGATTGTTGTAGGCTGTCAAAGATGAGCCTAAGGTGTAAACTTATGGTCTTCTTAGATATTTTCTGAGCCTGTGCTGTCCCCTGTGCATACACAGTGACTTTCTAATTTCCTCCAAATGTGTGGTTGGTTTTTAATGTCCTAGTCTTCAAAGCCTGGCCCCGCAAAACAGGAAAAAGAAAATTGAATTGGTGTGTAGGTAGGGGAGGCCTCCAGCTCTTTGACCTGGAAGTCAGTTCAGCCTGAGAGGATGGTGTGGGGTTTGCAACAATGAGGAGGAGATGCAACAGCAGTATCTGCACCCTGTTTGCACCTTTGTGATTAGAAGCAGCAGGTAGAGCACAGATCTCCAATATTTGGAGAGCGTGATTTTCTTTGCCCACCCTGGCTCATGCAAGCATTACACAGTTGACTGAGGGATAGGGTATGGGGAGTTGCTACTGTGCTAAAGCTGCAAGTGAATGAAATTAACTACAATTTACTGTTCAAGCCTTCACATGGAAGTTGCAAGCCTTTAATAGACTCCAGAGTTTCAAAATATTTACATCAGACGGATGCTGCCACTAAAATTGTTTTCTAGGTGGAGAGATGAATTTGTGGTGCTGCCTACTCTGCCATCTTGCCAGAATCCATCCTCTTTTTTACAGTCACTTTAACCTACAGTGATCACCTCAGTCACAGCATTTAACTTTTAATGCAGTGTGTCTCAAATTAGAATCTAAGAAGTATTCTCTAGAGTTTGTGAGTTCTGCATTGGAAAAGCACTTGTTTATAATTGAGTAGAGGAGAAAGAGGTATTAGCAAATAACATAGTGAAACTTAGATAAATGCTGAGAAGGAGAAATACAATGCACATTGTAAAAGTGCATTTTCTAAACTATTTTCATCTATTTTTAAATTATGGGATCTTAGAATTTATTTTAACACAATTTTAAAAAACGTAATATTGCCCTCTGAAACTTCGTAAGCTGCTTCAGTTTGTTACAGCAGCAATCGCTACTAGATCCTTTGTAATGAAATAGAATGGTAAAATTTGGGTGAGCCACATGTCCAGCCAATAAATTTGACTTTTAAAAAATTCTACCCTGGAAGACAGAGCAAGACTCCATCTTAAAAAAAAAAAAGACTTTGGGATTCTTAACCAGTACAGTGGGTAGTAGAACAGGTAACATGGAAAATCAGACAGCAACAACTAAAAGACTTGCAAAGAGTCTATGTGAAATTATTTCAATTAAAGAAAAACCTTTCTGTAATCTCAGATCTTGTTCTAGGTCTCTCTATACTTCCCTCTACCACTCAGTGACATTTGAGTATAGGAAAATCACATTTATTGTTGAAATTCATTTTCTCCATTTGTAAAAAAATAGCAACACCTGCCTTTACCCAAGAGGACTGTGTGAGGCTCTAGAAAAGTAATATAGAAGAAAATGTATTGCAAACCATAGAAGCTATAGAAATGCTTATTCTGTTACTAAATTTGTATACCATTATGTATATTTGCAACTTGGACAATAATGAAATCCTGTAGTTCACTTAATAGATTAGGGGTAGAAGCAGTAAAAGGGCAAGGATATTCCAGAAGGAGGAGCTAAAAAGCCCCTAAGTAATTTGCCCCAAGCCATCAGTAATAAGACTTAAGAAACATAATTTTGCTTACCCATGTTGGCCATTCTGGTCTTGAACTCCTGGTTTCAAGTGATCCACTGGCCTTTGCCTTCCAAAGTGCTAGGATTACAAGCATGAGCCACTGCACCCAGCCTGAATGCCAATATCTTAATAGCAACCCAGAGTCAGAGTATTTCACAACTTTATTAACCTCTTTAAAACTGAGTACTTGGCTCAAAATGATTTTTTGGTTTACTTTTTATGATGCAAAATTTCAAAAATACTCAAATCTAGAAAGACTAGTACAACGAACTCTACGTATATGCATCACCAGCTACAGCAGTCAACTCCTGTACTTTTATTTGATCCACAGCCCCTCCTACTCCCA